TTTTTTTTTTTTTTTTTTTTTTTTTTTGCTATTATTAGCACTGACGAAACGCCATCTGTTGGCGGATAACTTAATGTACCTTAAATAGGCAACGGTATAACATTTGGTACTAATAATAAACGAAACAAAACAAAGAAAACTTGTACAGAGCCTCAAACCTTAACAACAAAAACTTTCACTAAAATACACAAGCCGTTCAGCGTTTTAACTAGAATCAACTAATATGCCTCTTTGTTTGTGACTGTTGTCTAAACTTTTCAACAGAAGAAGCAGCAGCATCAAAAACTGGAACAGATTAAAACAGCTGTCATTGAGCAGTAGTTTATAACTTCTTTTTCAGGTTTTTTGAATAGCGTAATTAACATATATTTACTTCGTTTGCACTTTAAAACATTAGTGAATTGCACATTTATACATTTACTATACACGTAACATTTTCATTTCACTTTATTCGTCTTTTTTCAAAACTTCTTTCGTTCTATCTTAATATTCAAAAAAAAAAAAAAAAAAGAAAAGAAACTAGGACTAAGTCATTTGCAATCAAAATTTTTTTATTTTTTTTTTGCACCTGCTAAAATTCCAAACAATTCTTTTTGTTCTTTTTTAATTCAAAATTTTTTTTGTATAGAATCAGTTGATACACTGTTTTTCGTTTCAAAAAGTAAACCGTAGAATTGATAAAAGTTTAAAAAAACGAAAAAAGCATATTTGTCATTAGTTGTTTTTCTTTATAACGTTATCAAAACAGCCATATTTCTTCAAATTAAAAACTAATCTATTGATTTTATTCGCTTTAAACTATCTATCTGTTGCATTTTTCGTTTTTTTTTTTTTTTTTTGTGTGTGTGTTTTTTCGTTCTTGTTTAATTCAAAAACTAGAAGACTAATCAAAAAAGAAAGTTTCAAGAAAAAGAAGTATTTGACATTATTATTGCTGTTATTTCTTCTTTCATATTCTAGAAAGCAAAACCACCTTTACTTAGAATTTACAATTACAAGGAAAAGCTTAAACCTGGACAACAGGGAACTTTCCGCACAGTAAACTGATGAAACTGTCCCTGAATTGCCCACTGTTCCAACCATATTCACTGATGTGCAACTTCCTGCTTTCAACAATAAATTTTCAACATTCTGATTCATCCTACTTCTCGTGCCTCTCGAATTCCTTTTTTTTTTTTTTTTGCCAGACTTTACCTCTCTTCATTGAAGACTAACCTGAATCGGCTGACAAAACGTATCAAAAGATGACAATGTAAGAATAAAGCCATGACGCTCAAAGTGATTCATATGCGACTGACACAAATATTTAGACAAAAAAAAAAAAAACCGAGTTTTGCTTTACAGACAAACATATCTTCATATATGTAAGTGTACTTTTACAAATATTCATATTTTTCCTAATTTACTCAATCTTTTGACAATAATTTTGAATTATACGAGTTTAATTATAGACAATAAAAAAGAACAAAAGTAAGAACAGAAAAAATAATACAGCGACAAGTAAAAGCAGAAAATGCAATTAATTCTTGCATAAACAAACTGAGATTACCTCCTTCTATCTGTGCGCTAATCTATTTGCAATGTTTAACTGTAGCATCAACAAAACAAAACTGCAAAAGGATTCAAGAAGATAAAGCAACAAAAGCAACAATTTTTTTTTTGTCAAAAACATTTTGCCTTAACTGCCAAAAAAAAATCACTTTATAGCGCTAATTCTCTATTCATTTCTAGACACGAAACCTTTGCATTCTTTTTTGTTTCAAATTTAAAATCTTCTTATCTGGGCAAATACAACTACTTTCAACTGATTGTTGTTCGTGGTAGATGACTAAAGATAAAAGCAGAAAAATTGTCAAAAAAAAAGTAATGAGACAGATGTGAGCATAACGCAAAATGCATCGACACAATTACACTATTGTAAATTATTCTTTTTTAGAAGCAGTAATACTTTTTTTTTTCTTGTTAACGCTGCGATGCAGTTAGCTCTAAGTCGTCCAGTAAAGAGAAATTATGTAGTGTTTGAAGCGGCGATCTACTAAAGAGCTTAAAAATCAAGTTCACATTCTTAAAATCTATCTATACAAAGCAATCTACATACTTGAACTCTTAAAGAGAAAAAAGAAGAAAAACAAAAACTCATTTTCAGCTTTTAAACTAACATTAATTTGCTTCAAAGTTTTACAGCCTTTGTGAGAATTTTTCTAAATCTTAATCCATTGCTTTCTCTAAATACTTCAACAATTCCAAATTAACCTCGTGCACAGTCGCAAACAAAATTTTTTGCATTTTTCTAATAATTATAAACACATGTGCTTACATATCTATACATATTGATCAACACTAAATAACTATTTGTCACTAAAGCAGTAATAAAATCCTGGATAAATTAAAAAATAGCAAACAATATAAGCATAAAAGTTTGATTTTTTCGAACATGGGCACTGTTAACTGCAGTAAAAAAAGACGACAAATTTAGAAAATCAAGGATTTTCGATTCATTAGATGCGTCTTCTGCAAACTTTTAATGATCATTCTGCTGTAGCAAAGACGCCACAGACAAAGCCGTTGCTGTCGTTGTTGTTGCTCTTATTAAGAAGTAATCCCTCTGATAAATATTACTCAGAAAATTACTCGTTCACTTTTTAATTCAAAAAACATTACAGTCAAAAACGCTGAATTTTTTCTTTATAAATTTGATAAATATTCCAAACATAAGCGATTGAATTCTACACCATTTTTAAAACCTCAAGCTTAGTTTCTTCTCTTACTCATTGTGTAATAACAACTACAAAAACAGCAGAAATAAAAATAACAATAACAATAACAATA